AGCATGATGGAAAACCAGACAAACGCTTCTAATTCTACTTCAGCAGCCAAAGAGACATCTGAAAACGCCGAAGCAGCACGCGTGTCAGGGTGGGGTCCTGACTGGTTACAGCTGTTCCTGTATTCCATCAGATTGTGATGCAAACAAGTAATAAAATAACATTTATGGACCCAAACTAAACGGATCAGCCACCCGGGGGGCCACAGGTCTGCATCTGCACTGTAAATCACAAATCAGTCAACCTCAACAAATGAAATCTTTTGCCTGAATTTCCTTTATTTTTATTTGCGTTTTCACAGATTTAGGCGTGTTTCTGTTATTTCCCCTCCAGAACCTTCACACAGCGCTGGGCTGAAATCAGATTTGTGACTAAAGCGCCGCCGAGTCTGAGGGAACTGAACAGGGTGTGTGAGGCAAGACTCATGTCCAAAAAATCTGAGGAGGGGTCGGCCACAGATTCTGATCACTTCCAGCCTCAGACATGACACACACACACACACACACACACACACTGGAAATAAACATCATCATCAGCGGAATCCTCCATCTCCTCATCATCATCATTTACTTTAACATCCTGTGTTTTTTGTCTGACGGCCGAGCGAGCGGCCACCGCGGGTCATCGGCTCGTAATCTCCTCCACATTCGGTTGCCATGCAGACGTCTGTCGTGACCCGTGGGAGTGGCAACTCACGCCATCCATGACCCACCAGCACAATGTGTTTTTTGTCTGGGCCACACCATCGCTGCTATTCTCCATGCATTCCAGCCCTCCGTGTGGTCGACAGGGTGAGAGGGCCCTGGTGCTAGAGACAAATTAATATCCACTCCATCTTTACCCCCACTCACACCCTCCTTTATTCTACCCACCCCCCCCCTCAAATACCCCACTTCTTCATGTAAAAGCACAACTAGACACCTGCCTCGCAGCTGTCGGTCTCACGCTTGAGTTTTACGTCTTTTCATATTTCTGGGCTTTTCAGCTTCTCCTTGGTCTCCGTCCACCTCAGGTTACACACGAAGGCCACTGCCCTTCCTCTCTTTTCTCACTTATTTATTTGTTTGAGGTCAAGTTTCACAATAGAGTAAAAAGCTGGTAACACTGAAATATCGTTGCTATGTCAAAAACAGCTTTATTTATGGCCTCTGCGGTTGTGTTTTTGTGTAAGAAGAACAAAAAAGGGGAAAAAGTCCACACACACACACACACACACACACACACACATCTGTGTGCAATCATAAACCTGGTGATGTCATTGCAGTTGGAGCAGAGGTGCACTTGTTTCATGACCTTCTGAAGAGGCTCGTTTGCATCCTCTGGGTTCTGAGGAGGTGTCCAACAGAGGGCTGCGCCTTACTGCTCACGTGCTCTCCCCTCCCCCCCCCCTGCAGTTATTACTAATTAATATCTATCTTATATTATTAGTAAGACTTGTCTCACTCAGGAACTATCCCGTCGCTGATTTAAGGGAATATTTTCCAAACCGCAGGGGTAGACGGATTCCTGACGGGGGGCCCAGAGAAGTCCCACATATTCCAGCGCCCCACCACCCACAGTGTTATTTGAAGACAAAGCGTGAAACAGAGGGAGACCAAGGAGGCAGAAAAGAGTGAAAAGAGACTTAAAGAGGAAAAGAAAAGAGGGGGAGGAGGGCTGGAGAACAGCGTCTTGACTGTGCTGTCAGCCGAGGCCGTGCAGGGTAGGATCGGGACCTTGGAGGGCCCGACAACAGCTGCAGGAGCCTCCCGTAACACTCAAGCATGTATGCTGGGCCTCCTGCAGCTCTCACCAAGGAGGCAGCAAAAACATGGCATGAGCCAGACGACTGACTGTTTTCAACAAAAACAAACAAACAAACAAAACACTATCTCAAAAGTTTATTTTTTTGTTTCCCTTTGATATTTTTAAAATAGATATGTTTGCACATCTAATTCACAAGCATGTGGACAAAATCTCCATTTTTAGTGCTTTTATCCTACAGGAGTGGCTAACGGCCAGGCTGGCTAGCACAGAACAACGTGTTTTGCTGCCATCTTGAGACTGCTCAAACCTCCAAACGGTCTGTGCGAACATCGTTTCATTAACACGATCGTGAGTTCCATCTGCGTACAATTCTGATCATTTACAGCATAAATGTCACCATCAGCAGCGACGTGTAGCACTCCTGGTTGAGCCTGGTGGGATTTTCTTCACATTTCTGATTAAACAACCACATCATACGAAAGTGAAATCTGTTTAAAGGTTTAGAGAGTAAAATCCTACGAACGGCTGATAAATCTGGACAGTGTTAGTAATTTAAAGACAGCAACACTCAGGCCTAGTCCACACGTAGCCGGTTTTTTTAAAAAACGAATATCCGCCCCTCCAAAAACTTGCATCCACACCACCTCGTTTAAAAAAAAAACTCTGTCCACACGTACCCGGATAAATACGTTGTTAAGGACATGCCAGACCTGTAGGCGGCAGTACTTCCCCCGTTCTTAACCTCGTCCTTCGTCTGTGGTCTTCCACAAGGAGCAGTAATTCCACTTGCAAAAACAAACAAGCAAAAAGCGCTTGGACAATTGATAAAGCGAGCGCAGCTCTGAGGGCATCCATGCTGTCGGCTAGTGTAAACACAGGTCGCACACGTGATGTCAGCATTTTTCTGTCGTGGAAAGTGACGTTGCGGACCTTAAAACTCCGATTTTGTCCGTCCACACGCAGACACCCAAAACGGAGAAAACACAGATCTTCACTTTGGCCGGAGTTTTTAAAAAGATCCGTTTTCGTGTGAAAAAACTCCGTTTTCGTGTGGACGACAGGCCAAAACGTAGAAAAACATCTACGTTTTGGCAGATCCCTGGCTACGTGTGGACAGGGCCTCAGACTAGCCATTGGCTCATCAGCCCGTAAAGCAACAATAAATACTTTAACAATTTAATCTATTGCCTTCAAACTGGTTTCAGTGATTTGTGAGGCAGAAATTTGAGCAACTTCACTTTGGACAGCACTCTGTAGCCGTCTGCTGACCAAAGATGCACTTTATAGTTTTGTGGTTCAGGTAGGAACACTAGTAGGAGTCTCTACCTGCTTTACAGCAATAACTTACTCTGCCGTTAGCTAATATACAGTAAAGGCTAGCAGTTAGCATTTGCAGTTTGCTGACCATTCAATAAAAAAGTTTGCCTTTATCATGACATCATGGTGGAGCATGGAAGTAAACGTAAGAGAGAAGTGTCTTTGGACATTTTGAGGAGCTAAAGGAGGCTACCGAATCACAGGCTGATGGTGACCTGGCTTTGTTGTTTCTGGACAGTGCGGATCTTGTACTTTGTGGCTTATTGTAGTATCAGCTGGCTGGTGTTAGCATTAGCTTGTTGTTAGCGCTAGCTGCATTAAGCTTGGTTTATGCTTGACGCATTCACTTTCCGCGCGGTGATGCGGCTCGCGGATGGAACGCGCTTCACAACTCGCAGTGTTTATGGTTCGTGCGGCTCGTCTCTGCGGTGAGCCAATATTCTCCCAAACTGTAGGGGGCAGCATGGATCTCTACAGCATGCATCCAACACTACACCATAGTAGAAGTAAAAATTACTGTTTACAACATGGCATTTCAGCATTTTTAACAGCGTCCTCGTCTTTTCCGACAGTGCGAGCTTTTTCTCTCCAAGAATTATTAACAACATGTTGATCCCGGTGATCTCTGAGAGCTGAATCATACAAATGTCTGTATTTACGAACCTCTGCCATACTAGCTCTTGCCGGTCCGCCATGTTTTTCCGCGTCCATCCGTCCGTCCGCGTGGTTAGAAATTTTCCGAGGTGCGCGTTGCTGAAATCTTGGGCCGTGCGGAGACGCGGTGGAGGGGCGTGGTTGTTAAAATGACGCAACTTTTCCACGCGGAGCCGTGCGGACCTCGCGGACGCTTCAAGCATAAACCAAGCTTTAGGCTGTGGCAAGGTTGTTCGTGACAGTTGTAATTCTGATTTCAACCAGCAGGAGCGAGAAGCGGGGAACTTTAGTGTTGCTTCATGGGGTAAACTCTGTTTTCTTTTTACTGAAGCCATTCAGGAAGCTTTCAACAGCGAGATCGTAAATTATTCGTACCAACCTCACACAGAAACATATTTCCATTCGGTATTTTGACTCATTCCTAAACAAAGAAAAAAACCTGTTGCAACGGGAATATGTATGACACCTCACAATGGTTTATTATGTTTAACCATGTAATCCACAGCTAGACTAACCAGCTGCTGTTTTCTTATTCACCCAACATGTTTTACATCATTTATAAAAGTCCAGATTACTGTATCATTTGCAATGTAAGACAGCAAAACTTTTACATCTTAATAAATGAAAATGAGTGAGGAGATTAGAAACTGTTATATAACCATTTTCTTATTGTAACTTTATGTTATTTTTGTTAAAATTCAATAATTTTCACAGCTGCCTTCATGTTAAAGGTTTATTCTGTCTCGCGTACGGAAGCTGTAGCATGTTTCTAGTGTGTGATGAAGTCATTCCTGATGCCATGATCCTTCTTTAGTTAGTGTTCAAACCACAAACCTTCCTTTCTAAATGACCCGAACGGGGTCCTCCCATCACTCCCTCGCTGCACCGTAGAAGCCAGAGTGGAGTTTAAAGAGATGAAACGGGATCCAGGGCAACACGCTGTGAAGCCCGATGCATCATACCACCACCCCCCACTGGGACGCAGTTAGCTGATTAATTGTGAAAGCGTGAGAGATTAAAGGAGACACATCCCAGAGTTACTGCTAATGGATTTAGTATTCATGCATCCCTAACAAGCTAAGGAAAGGCAAGAGGGATCCAATTTATCCCGCAGTCTGTTTGTACCCAAGTGGAAAAACATTGAATGAGGAGTACAAACCCGTATTTTCTCACAAACTCACATTTCTATTGCATTTCCTCACCAGATGATTGCTCTAACTGTACAGATATGTGGATAGTTACAGATAAATGCAAATACAATTAAAAATATTAACACTGAACTCACCAGATGGTTCCTCGGTGATGCTGGATGGAGTTGTGGGAGGAGAAACAGGAATCTCTACTCCGACAAGAATCAAGAAAGAAAGAAGAATCAGTTTAATCTTTATGCAGATTTCCGCATTTATAAATGAAGAAATAGAGCAGCGCAGCACGTGTTGTAGATGACGTGTGAAACTGGAAACATGAGAACATGGTGCAAAAGTCCTTTTATGTCAGTAATCCATCTTAGACTGAGAGACCATCTAAAGGCTCAGGAACCTTTGCAGATGTTCTGGGTTCATTGGCTGATCAAAGTGTGACAATTTAAGAGTAGAATATTGAATATTTTCACAATATTCAAATTGTCTGAGATTTCAAATGTAGGGTTTTTATCAGCTGTACACCATAATCTTCTCAATTATGACAAATAAAAGGCTGAAACATCTGGATTTATTTAGGGTGAATTACTGAAATACTTACATTTTTGGAAAATGTGAACAGCTGTGGCCAAAAGTTCGTAGACTTTTTGTTTTCGCACAGAACAACTAACGGTACCTAAACATCCTCCCAGAGGAACTCCTCCAACCCTTCACTAGATGTGTGGTGATGAACAAAGTCTTGTCCAGCATGATGGAGCTCCGTGCCAGAAGGTCTAAACTCCAGGTCCTGATTTACATTCCACTATAAACAGACAGAATCCTACAAATTCTGACAAAATCCCAACATTGTTTATGAAGAATGAGCTCCATCCATCAGGATCTAGAGCAGAAGCTAATGGTCAACATGTCCATGTCAACTCGAGGTCTTTATAAAGAAGAAGCAATGCTGCAAACTTTATGTAATGATTTGAAAAAAAAATGCTGTTGGGGCTCATAACAGGCTGTAGATCTTCGTCAGTAACCATAGAAACATCTGACAAAAAGATCTAAAAACACTGAAGAGGCAAACAGAAAAATTTCTGTCTCGGGCCAAACAAGTCCTGCTGTCTGCGACGTCACAGCCCCGGAGATATTTCGTCATGCTAAATTAATGAGTTGGCACTTCCTGTCACTTTCATTACATCTGCCACAGCGGTTCACCAAACCGTTAGCAGTTTGGAGTTCCAACGACTGGATTGTGTCTCCGTCCCTCTGTCTTGTATCTCAAAGGAAGTATGGAGTCGACACTAACCCCGGGTTTCCACGGGAGCTGTCAGCAGCACGTCTAGCTGCTGCTTGGCCCTTCCCACGAGACGCGAAGCAGCAGGGGAGCAGCTGTCACCGACCGAGCACGAAGTCACACGAGTGACTTCGTCAGTAAACACAACAACAAGCAGGAGAAAACTACAACATGGTTTGTGTTTTATGTTCTGTCCGTTTTATAATCGCCAACACGGACCTGAAAAACAAAGGAGACCGCTAGCTAGGTGATAACTTCTCACGGGGCCGCACAGTTAGTAACTTTTTTAAAAGTAAAGCAACCGGAAGGCAGTACGTTCTTTATTCTGAAAATCTCGGGAGCTTCTCTCCGTTTCCGCGTCCAATTTCCTGTCTTTCCTTCCCCAAAAATGTCGAACTTGACCCGTTTCAGAGGCGTCGCGCGTAGAAAATAGAACCGGCGCGTAAAGGCCGCGACATGCTGCTCCTGAGACGCGGCCGACTCGCGCTGCTGACGGCTCCGGTGGAAAAGGTTCTGTTGACCACAGCGGTTCCTATCAGCAGCTATGACGTGCTGCTGCAGTAACGTGCTGCTGACGGCTCCCGTGGAAAGCCGGGGTAAGAGACGCCATGCAGAAAGACCGGCCAACTCTTCTCCTGAAGAGCAGGACGGTCACAACAAACAAAACTTGTGAGCAGGAGAACTACGGATCTAAAAGCAGTGGCGCAGGCGAGGGGGAGCATGAGGACACACAGACATGCAAAGCAGGAGGCTGGGTTTGTGGCAGCCTGCCTTCAGGTTTCAACATTTACATGAGAGTCTGGGAAACGATGCTCCGCGCCAAAAGTTTCCTGGTGTCAACCAGTCGACGACAAGAAAACAACTGCTGCTAAAGTGACGTAGGAAGCCCAGAGGTGCTGACGCTGTGATTAGCACCCTCCCACCAGTATTTCACTCAAACGCTCTGCCTGGTTCTCACAATTGTTTTGTGTAAATTTATGCCTGATATACTGAGAAATGTCCACAAACTCAACAATATGTAACAATTCTTGTCAAATGGCAAAGTTACTAAAGGACTCTTATATTTTACATTTCTTTGCTTAAATTAAATTTAACTGATAGATTTATTCAGCCTTTACAAAAGTAAACTTAGCTTGATGAAGAAATTTTTCTTTTTGTCTTAAAATGACAAAATCAACTTATAACCTTATAAATGACTTTAATTTATTTGATTTATTTTTAGAACATAAACATAAGGATATCGTGTCTTACCTTTGAAATAACAAATAACAGCTGATTTTGGTATTCAGAATAAATCTTTTAGCTTGTTAAGACTCTTTGGAGCTGGGAGAGGCTGATGTTAGGAACTTTGGGTCTTGACTCGGATTTAACTCGGAGATTGGTCCATTTTAATGTCTGCTTCTAAGTCCTCTTCCATATGGAGTTCCACAAGGTTCTGTTTTAGGGTTCATATCTATGTTTTGTTTTCAGCTTGGTGAGGATATTTCTAATCATTTCTTTGCAGATGATATTGACTTTTATATTTATTTTAAACCTTCACAAAAAGCTAAAATCTGCAGTTTTTTCTCAGAGAGCACCATCTAGAGGCAGAAAAATGGATTGCACCTTAAGCCCCTCTCCATATCGGAAACAACGGCGCTCACTCCTGAACGCGCACCTCTAGCTGGCCAGCACAGCTAAAACGTATTGTTTTATAATAATTATTTTCACGCTGTTTATCCATTTTTATATTTTAAAGACGATACTTCTGTAAGTACACGTGCACGCTCTGTGAATAGCATCTGTACGTAAGCTAAGCCTATTGGCTAGTGCTGAGTGAGGCGCCATTAAAATTGCACGAGTCTATGAGATGGGGGGGGGGGGGTGCAAAGCAAAAACATGTTGACATATCGCCTACATTAGTTCACAGTACAGGATAAATCTGTCGCTTTTACAGATTTCAAACCTAATTCATGAAAGGGGGAAACTCCAGATGGGTGGCTGAGAACTCTGCGCAGCCTAATGATGGAAGGATGTTTGTGCCCCTAGCAGCTTGCTGTCAGATAGTAGACACTTCTACTCATCTTGCCAAACTGACCAAATCTTCTATAATGAATTTTGATGCTATCTTTTTACACAATGTTCATGTCAGACTTGAGGTTTGCATTTGTTTTAATGACCTACAGTTTCTAAGTGTCCATTCAGAGGTGAGACGACCGGACTCCAAGACCTCGTCTAAAGAAAAAGCTCCAGACAACCTGTAGGCGTGTGTTTGTGGACAGCGTGTGTGTGCCGTGACAGATACTCCTGCCCTCCCTGAGCGTGGCACCTGGGCTGAAACTGGTCTGTGTGTGGAGGTGAGGAAGACAAGTCGAAGACTGGTTCCACGTACTTATGCAGGGGGCAATGGGCGAGCGGCTCTGCTGGTAGCCTTTAGCGCAGCGGTTGCACGTGATACCGGTCACGCCATCTTTACAGGGACATTGTCCTGTGGTTTGGTTACAGGTTTTGCCAGCAGCACCCACGGGATGGCATTCACATGCTGTGAGGAGACAGAGGAAGAAAGTGAGGCACAGTGAGTGGTCTCTCCCACACACACACACACCCACACACACACACAGGTGAGGAGATACATGTCCTAACTAAAGAGTGTGCAGGTGGGTACACAGCAGCAGAGTGGCAACAACAATCGGGTGGTGAGAGACAGGTGTGCACAGAGACAGAGCTTCCTCAGGTCCGGGTCAACAACACCATTGTTCTGGAGATGGTGCTGCCGCAGGACATAAAAGGTCAACTCATCATCAGACGATCAGACATTTCAGTGTTGAATATCAGAGGCTGATGTGTGTGAGCTGAAGAAAGGACTTGTGCACGTTTTCCAAAAGATAAGGTGGAAGAGGTTAATCCTGGTTCTGATTCACGTCTGGGTGTGAACCAGAGCCCAAAATGTCTTTCACACTTCCTGGAAAGACTGTGGGGGGTCTGTGGAACACACGTGCTTCAGGACACACACACACACACACACACACACACACACACACACACACACTGAACAGTCATTGACTGAAAGTTGTGTGTGACTCTTTTCTGTCTTTGCAGATTGTTTTATAACCTTTTTAGAACATTTGCTAATCAATCGCTGTTTCTTCTAAAGGTGAAATAAAAGTTTGTCGCTGAAGCCTCATCGCTCCGCCCCTTTCGCTGCAAGTGTTTGATTTTCCCGTTATTTCAGTGATCTCTAAACTCTGATTGAGGATCCGGCTGGGATCCTCCACTGCCTTGTCTCACTCTGGGAACTTTCGGTCAACCTGATGCGTGACTTTTATGGTTACATGTAGCTATGAAAGGTGGCTGATGATGTTTTTGCCCGTGTCTGCATTTGTTGGTGTCAGTAAAACATCTCATGACACATTTTAATCCATCATCGTCCTTTTAATTTAGGGTTTGGTGTCAGAAATCATTTGCTTCAGCCAACATTTTTGCATCACGAAAGGAAGAGAAGAGCCACCTCCACGGGACAGGACTCAGCAGTTCATCTGCATCTAAAGGACAAAGGTCACTCTTTCGAGGATGCCAACGTTCACATTTTGGACAGAGAGGACAGATGGTTTGAAAGAGGAGTAAAGGAAGCCATTTATGTCCACTGTCAGCAACCATCTTTGAACAGAGGCGGTGGTTTACGACACCAACTGTCTGCCATCTATAATCCAGTTTTGAGATCCCTTCCGAGATGCCTCAACGCCCACGCATATCCTGGGCCATCTGACCTCAGGAATTCACAAGATAGGGTGGGGCCAGGCTTCACAGTCAGTGCGATTACATGCAGCGAGTAACCCTTTTAAAACCCGAATATTCACAATAACCCAGTTCCGCAGGTCCATGTAAACA